AGTGGTAGTGGTAGTGGTAGTGATAAGACGACTAATAGAATACTACTTGAAATAATAGTAGAAATAGTAACAATAGTAGCAGTAACAGCAACAGCAATAATAGGATCAATAGCAGAAATAAAAAAAAAACAAACATCACAAAAACTAGACACAGCAACAATCGTAGCAATGCAAAAATGCAAAAAAGCACGAACAACACAAACCATTGATATTCAGAAATAGTAATAGTACTAGCAGTTAGTAGTAGTAGTAGTAGTAGTAGTAGTAGTAGTAGTAGTAGCAGCAGTAGTAGTAGTAGTAGTAGTAGTGGTAGTAGTGGTAGTAGTAGTAGTAGTAGTAGTAAAATAATAATGGTAAAAGTATAGCATCGGGTTTCGTGTCTTTCGCCTTTTTCGCGTTTTTGGTGTTTTTTGACTTTGGTGATCTTCGCGTTTTGCGACTCTTTGCGCGCTGCGCGCCGACTCCGATGAAGCACGACGCGCAAAAGGCTCGCTTAGGGAGCTTCCCCCAGCTTCAGCCAAAACCAATCCTCCTGTTCATATCTACATACTAACTGTTACTACATAACTAGATATCATACACAATTATATTCTACTATGTTGGCCTTCACCCACTTCGAAGCGGTCAAAGTTTCACTACAGGAATCTCCTGTTTCTCCCCCTAGTATTCCCCTCCCCATTCCTCTGGACACATTCATAGGCCATCACAGGCCCCAAGGCCAGGTGGTGAAGTTTGTGTCCTCCAACGAACAGCAAAGTTTTGCGTTCCCCGCCCAGCCCACCCCCCTCACCACACACCACCTGCGCCAATGCCAATGACGCCTTAAAGACACAGAGCAACCCTCTTCACTTGAAGCCGGGCCGAGGCGGACGACGCAAAGCGTTCCCTCTCTCTCCATCTCGCCGCCATTGTCACCCACCCACTGACCAAGAGCAAGCATCACTGTTCGATACTCTCGGAATGAACACTCGTTTCTTGTCGAACGACGGACCAAAAACAAAAAGTCCGATAAGAATGGCATCCAAGCGACAATATCCAGCTCGTTCGCTGGGCTGTCAGCAGATAGAAGCGTAGATCCATGCAGCAAGCTCCGTAGTTGGGCAAGACTCACATGCCTCGCCATCCTTGGCAGGAATCCTAGTTTTGAGTCCAAAGCCGAGTCTGCAGCGATGACCCGAAACTCTGCGCCCTAATGCTGGAATGAATTCGACTGCAGCGTTGTCCCGTCCGGCAGAATCAGGACGCAGCTGGCCTGGCAGGAGGCGTGACCTCGCAAAATGCACGTGCTCAGGAAGTAAGAAGCAATGGATCCAAAAAGGGTTTGACAGTAAAGAAAGAAGCCGTTCCAAGATTATCAACTCCTCGGCCGTGTAGTAAGGGGAACTTCGCTCCGTCTGCAGTCTGAGCGTTGCAACCAGCCCCCAACTGAGAAATTAGCAAGCAAAGAATCGAAGCAACTGTGCAGAAGCAAAGCAATGCTAAGATAGGGAATGGATACGCAACTGCACTTCGCTAAAGCGATACGGACGGATCTTCTAAGGACTTGGCCCGAAGGAATCAGGCTGACCTGCCACTGACTGCTTGGAGCCCAAGCTTTCAAAGTGCAGAAAGACCGGCACACAGATTTGGTTGTTTACCTGCTCGTTTCAGTCGGCCTCAGCTTCGTCGCCATCGAGGTTTCGAAAGTACCGAGGAGAGACTCCGCCAAAGGTAGACGCGAGATCCGCGGCATAAGCCGCTGAAAGGTCTTCTCGCCGCTTCTGGTCAAGGGCCTTCAGAGATACTGTGAAGTTGCAGCAGCGGAAGATGCTGCTATTTCACACGATGCAACTCCAACTACGACCGAGATGGGCAGAACATAGACCAAGCGTCTGCGCAGTCCAGATTGACGACCCTTAACTGCCAGAGCTGAAGCAAGCTGCCAGCAAGCGAGTCGATGGAGGAAAGCCAAGTCGGTGGAAACTGCTCCGAAAATCCATCACACACACCCTCACATCAGCTCCAAGGAGCTGCCAGGAAATAGATACAGAAGCACCTCAAACCAAAAAAGACTGTGGCATTCGGGCCTTGATCTCTAGTCTTATCCGCAGCAGCCAGGCCTGCACTGCAATCATCGCCACAATCCACACACATCGCTTTGCCCCTGCACCGTGCTTCAAATCGTAGTGCTTCTTGCAACTTTACGGGGTCGGCGAGCTCGCTGTATTTTTAAAGCTCACGCTGTGGGGCTGTCCATGCACACACTTGCCATTGACATGAGAACCGTTGCACTCAAGCCCTTTTGAGGCAAGGATCACTGTGCCCGGCTGACGACTCCAGGTTCCAGCCTACAAGCAACTGCAAGTATCTGCAAGCTCTAGGCTCTGGAATGCTGCGAATGCTGCACGCACAGGATCCCCAAGGGCAGGCCGAGTTATGACAAGCCTCGCAGAGCTGACAAGTAGAGCTGCCAACGGAAGAACTGTAGTACCCAGGGCTGCAATAGCGACATGCGGAAGCCCCAGGTTCATCGGAGTAGTTCCCCACGGCGCAAGGCAAGCAGCTGGAGATGCCAACCTGCTGATCAAAGCTTGCAAGCCGAAGAACACAATCGGCGAGCACGTGTGAACTGTGCGTGAACAACAAGAACTTATATTTCCGGAATGCTCAACAAATCAGAAACGACACCAGAGACCAGACGGGCACGTCAAACAGGAATTCTTGAGAAGAGTTCAGGCAAGCAGAAACAGAGACTAGTAAGAACACAAGAGGGGACTGGGTCGGCCTGGTCTTCAATTCTGCTGCGCATGGGGTGAGATGTTGGAACTTGTTGACCACATGTTCGCACGGCTTCAATAGCATTGTATGAGCTAGGTCGTCTTCACATTTTGTTGTGAATCTGGCCCACAGATCCGAAACCTTTGCGGAGTGGCGAATGGAACGGGGATCGGCGAGCTCTAACCCCTAAGGCTCAAATGTCCGGACTGGGGAGCGGCCCATACGCCCGATAAATTTGAAGCTTTGAGAAGCTGCTTCAAACCTTGAATCAAGCTGCGGTGGAGAAACTTCAAAGCGCAATGGAGTGGGCTGAAAGAAGTGGGAGACCCGAAACAGGAAATGTCGGATGAACTTTTTTTACACGGATGAACTTGCTCTGGCAACTGGAGAAAGGAATGTTAAAAGTCAGGAAGCGAACAATGGAGGTAGATGCGCCTGAAAGCTCGTTGGAAAGTCAGGGAGCAGAGTAATGATTCGCCAGTGCTTGACTTCGACGTTAGAAACACATTGCACATGTGAACCTGCCGTTGCTAGCGATGACCGGACCGGCCGAATTTGAATTGTTCACACAAACATTGACATAGTGAGCCGAATTGGTCGTGCAGTGCTCGGAGATCCTGAGCATCAGATCGGCATGCACTCCGACCCCCCACCCCTCCAAAGCGCAAAAACATGGCTGCCGTACAGTACCAGAAAGCCCTGGCCGTGGCATCGCACTTGCAAGTTGATCGTCACGGCGACTTGCTTGGCACTACAAATTACACGGTAAGCGATGAAGCTGACGATGATGGCGGTGGTGCTGATACGAACGAAAGTGAGATGACCGGTGCCAAGGGGATAGCATACAAAGCACAACCGTATGATGCGTAAGTGGTTTAACAGTTCGGCACCGCTGCATACCCCAGACAAAGGAATGACGCAACACGAAATGAGACGGCAAGTGTGTGGCCCATCGGTTAGAAGCAGGCGCTGCAGGCACACCTTACACGGGGAAGGTCTGGTCTGCCGCCCCGCCCTGCTTGCAAAGTGGGGCAGCAAACTTGAGGCCCGGATTCGAACCTCTCTTCGGCATGTTCGCGAGCTGGCTCCGGAACTACCTCTGCTACAGGACCTTCACGATGAGGGCGCATTGGCGTTGAAAGATTCGAGATTGTGCTATCGCGACGAGGAGTGGGCGCTGTCAAAAACGAGGAGTGGGCACTGTCAAAACCAACGTGTATGGTGGGTACAGAAAATTGACACGGCCAAAGCCCTAGTCAAGCAGAAAGCCGACATGCAGCTCGAGTGAGTCACGCAAAAGCCCGGCAAGCACATGGACGGCGGATGGAAAATTGACCACGCGACGCACTCCGTTGATGGATTCCTTGTGGCCCAATTTCGCCCGAAGTGTTTCCGCTTGCTTCCGGAGACCGAATCTTGTTTGTCTTCACTCATTTGTTCTTCTGCGCCAAATTCCGTTTTCAATTTCTAACTCACCCTGGTGCACAGGGCAACAAAAGCTTAAAACGGCTGCGACCTTTTGCTAACTCTGGATCAGGGAAGCCGACAAGCGGCGGGACAAGAAGCAAGACCCAACGCACACAAGGGGGTTCCTCATTGGTTTTCTTGAACACCGTGAATAAAACAGCTACCTCCCTGTCCAGCGGTTTTAAAAAGGCGACCTCATCGATCATCCTTCGCTGGGGTGCGCCAGCTTCCACGACCCTGCTGATCATGGAAAGGAGCACTCAAACCTGGGCTCAGGACGGCGGTAGCTACGCACCATGGGCCGCTTGACTAATAGCGAAGACATCTCGGTGGTGCCAACCACGTTTAGTGGCCATCAGGCCTTGCAAGAACCTGATCACAGGATCCGCTGGCGCCACTTCCTCTCCACTCACTACATCCGGTCCAGGACATACTTTGGGCTTCGTTGTGATCGTTTGCTTCACGTATTTCGCGTCGTATCCACTCAACCAGCCATCAAGGTGTACCGCCTATGGGTGGTGCACACGTCTTTTGTCCCGGCATCCACGAACATGTTGCTTGTATCCGTCCAGCGAAGCGAGACTTTTGGCTTGGCTAACATCCCCCGAAGCCATGAGATGCTAAACGCGAGAGATTGTTGGCTTCCGTATTATACATAATTGTCGCTATTTATTGCCGTGGTCGAAGGTGTCCTTTGCGTCTGTCACTACGACGACGCCCACCGCCCGCATTGTCCAAGACGCAGTCTACACCTTTGGGCCCCAGATCGTAATCTAAGGCCTCTGCTCAATGGCCGCGGCCCGCGGCAGTACCGGCCTATGTCAATGCCTTCCCCTATGCCAGGCAACTCTGCCGCCAAGATACTGCGGCAGACCCCTTGCAAACAGCGGCTACGTTGCCCAACGAAGTGTCGGAGACGACCACGATGCCGGCGCCCTCCAGTTTCATCGGCCGGAACTTGAGCATGAAGTCCGTTGTCGCTCTAAACTCCTTCTCGGGGGCATTCGCGCGCACGAATCAGATGGCCCACTAGGTGATCCAGGTAGTTCTGCCCAATGTTGCCAGGGTCCTCGAAAATGTCGCCGCCAAAAAAAGTTCCACGCAGCGCCTCGATGGAGAGGGGCAGCTTGACTTAACAGCTTCTTGCATGAAAGTAGCTCATTTTCACACGTAACAGTGTGGCAAGTCGAAGCAACTCTCGCCTTCCACCCCAGCAGTGCTCGTGCAGGCGTCAAGTGCTCGCCGCAGGTCATCTTTTCGGCGGCCTTAACCTTCAGTGTGGCATGCAGCCAGCATTCCATCGAGCATCGGATCTTCGAGAAATGCCAGCTTGATCCCCAATCTGTCTCTCAAGTAACCCGCGTCCCCAGGTCCTCGAACTTGTCTTGGAGTCGCAGCACTGCAGAAGCCGAAGCAGCAGCCCAGCGAAGTGCCACACGCTTCTTTCGAGGAAGCGAAGGCAAAGCCGGCGAAATCGTCCGACCACGCGGTCCAGCGTGCCGGTGTCCATTCGCAACATGAGATGACGAGGGGGGCGGCGGCTGGAGCATCGAACTTGAAGCTCTCGATCTTCACTGCGGGGGCCGCGTCCGCCCAATTTCCACACTCAGCTGCTCATGCTCACGAGCACTAACAGGAACTTGCTTCGCAGCGTGACTCACAGCAGCTGCCCGACGCCGTCCCCCCTCAAAGCATCTCAAAGCAACTCAGCTGCACTTCCACTTCCAGCACTCCGTCCTGGCTTTCCCGAAGCCAGGTCTCGAAGAGGTACCCCAGGAGCGCGTGAAAATGTCGAGGAAGAAGTGACCCAAATGATGTGCTCGCAGGACCCTCCTGGTAAAACTGATCGCTCCACCGATGCCTCCACGAAGTTTCTTCCCGAAAAATTTCTTAACGACTCGACCTCGGCAACACTGGTCCACACTAGCAGGCAGGATTCACAACTACCAGAGGAAAACGGCGCCGAGAGTAACTTGCCTTCACCCCGTCGTCGTTCCCGAGCTTAAAGTTCTTTCTCTCAACTTCACCAGCGGCCCCACATGAGAGCTAGACTGGTCTTGCAAGTAGCCCTCCAACCAGCGACATCCTTCTCAAGCCCCGCACGCCTTGTGTCCACGGCCAATGCACTTTGCATCTCGTGGAACTGGCTTGCTTCAAGCTCCTCCGCAAAATAACTCCACGAGGAAAGAAGCCCTGGCCAAAGAAGCTGGACCAATCTACGCAGCCAGGTCCTCGAAGCACAAGGGTTTCAAAGAAGGGCCAAAAGAGCCGGAGCAGTCCGGGCAGGCACGGAAAACCAAAAGGTAGTAGGCACCGAGAGTCACGGAGAAGAGTGTTGTTGCCTCCTCGCCTGGGGCACCCGCCAGTCAAAGATGCAAAACGCAAACAGCAAGGCCCGACAGACAGAGCCCCAAGGAAGTGCTGGGTCCGAACTCGCCGTTCAGGAGGACACCAGCCAGGGACTCAATGTCGTAGCACTGGCCCCTCTGGGATGTAAACACAGTGCGGAGTTCTATCGCTCAGGCTCCGGTGCCACTAAGTAACCCTGAGGCACAGGGCATCCAAAGGCTGCGACCTAGGAGCTAACTCTGGGTCAAGAGTTTCTGCCGATTTACGCATCCATCAGCCAACATAACACAGGAATTACAAGTTTATTGCTGAGTAGAAAGATTGGGCCCAAATGTAAACAGGAGTGTGAGTTGCTCAAGCGCGCGCAGATGGCAAAATTGGAGCTGGGCAGGGCTTATGCAGCGAATTTAAGCGAAGTGGTCTGGCCCTCAGCGGCTTAAGAGAACGAATAGGCATAATCACTACGGGCACCTGCCAATAACCACGACGGAAATGGTATACAACCCAGTATCCTCTCATCGGTTGCAGGTGTGCTTTTATTTGTGGATTTCCCACACTTGTCGTTCTCAAAGTGGATTCTCGTTTTGCTAGCTGTGCTGAAACTCACGCATTAGTCGTTAATTTGCAACTACTGCAGTTTAACTCGCGTTCAATCATGCCCTCTGGCATCGAGTATCCTTCGCATCCCTTGCGTGGTCCTGGAGTCCTTGAGGAAGTCATGACATTCCAACCACCAAACATGTGAAGATCAGGACGTGACATTCTTCTTACTCCTGCCTGCGCTTGTACGGGCTGGAAGCGTCCGAGCGAGCAAAGCTTGCAGGCATTGCTGCTGTTGGCACCCAGGGGGCCATCCCACCAGCGTCCCAACCTGCGACTCCGACGGGTGCCTAACGAATACCGTCTAGCAGCTAGCATGAGCAGCACCATGCCAAAAAAGCAAGGCCGCCTGTGCAGCACATGACGGACGCTGGACCGATATGAACTCGAAACTGGGAACAATGATCTTTACTACGCAACACGACCTACAGCCGAGCAATGGCTACTCATGACTCCTTGTTATACATGCATGCCTGGAAGACTGACCGAACCTATGCCTGCGAAAACATCTGGAGAAACAGTAGACACACCTATGCAACTCCAACAACTCGGCTTTTGATTGTTCCAAAGCAGTCCAGATGATCAGGTCTGCTGTGAACTTAGCCCAAACACAGTATAGCAGCCCGAGAATAAATTCCCCACCCACAATAGGCGAACCAAGTCACGGGCATGAAGTGCAGGGTGCCGAAGCTCCTTCCAGATCGCTGTAGCGGCCCTGCACGCAATATCCTCAGCTGTAGGCAAGCGTTTTGGGTCCCTTAGGTGCACCAAGAAACCTGTAGACGGATCCAGGGCGCTGCAGAAAGTGTGACTGTCAGCACCTTCTGTATCACTCCAGCGGCCAGCAGGACAGGATGTGCAAGATCCGATGTCCTTGGATCAGAAGTCAACCTTCAAAAAAAGACGACTTGAACAACTGGAGCCACCAAGAAATAGCACGGCATCTGTCGACTCTGAAGAAATAGCAGGCCTTCGAAGAGCTGAGTTCTTGCCTTCCACCCCCTGAGACCAAAAAATACAATCAAGAAATATCCCTCCATTAAGAAAGAATCCTGAGAATCAAACACATCCAGGTGGTCACAGTATCTCAACAGAGTTCCCAGGACGATCTTGGACGCAAGCATATGCAGATACACTCTCTTTGATGATTGGATGGCCAGTATAATAATCGGCATATCATCCGAGCAGATCCCAGCAGGCAGATAGGAACAACAAGGATGATAACAACGATGCTTTCAAAGCACCGGCGTGCAGTACCGGCATGCAAACGGCTGTGGCAGCAATATTGGTGATCATCATGAATATTATTATGACTTGCATAGTAATTATGAATATCCCGTTCGCTGTTTCAAACGTAGTCACCATGAGGGCTGGAATCAAACAACACATGCCGCTGTCAAATTTCAGCGCACTCATGGAGTTGTTGCTTCGCCAAAGGTCTATTTGAAGACCTCAGAAGCCCTGCCAGTTTGCAGCTTATGACCTTGGTTCCTTCAGTCACGCTGTGGGAATGCACAGTCCTCAGGGCCACGATCTAGCGTCCACCAGGCCCTTAAGAAGCAAACAAGGAGCGAGAGAAGCGACCGATGTTATTAGTTACAGACCTGACAACGACACCTTGTGAATCTATGATTCTGGTCGTCGTATCGTCTGCATGCTGGCAAACCAGTTGTAAACGATTGGCGCAGCGAAATTTCTGTAGGACGAGAACCTTTCCCACTTGGGCTCCGATCTTTTGGGCCCAGGGTTCCCCCCTTTACTATTGCACTACAACATATCAGGAAGAAAATCAGGTGCGGGGAGTGTGGGGACCCTGAATGCAGTGAGGGGGCAAGCAATTGGAGTATACTATATACATTTGATAGCTCCATTATCCATTATATAGTTACAGGTTATAGACTGTATATGTGTTATATGTTGTTCGAAAAGTCTATGCTCTACAACTATGTAACATGCAATACATTCTGTATAATTTATTCCTACTATCTGTGCGCTACTACTTATTTCCAAATGTGCATTTGGCACATGTATGTTTATTACATACATGTTGTATGTTATGCACTGTAGGTTGTATACCGTATATCATATAAAGACATTGTAGATGATACAGTATAGTATCTTTTCTAGGATATATATATATATATATATGCTACCCCCCCCCCCTCAGTTATCCACCGTTCCGTGGCTTTCCAGGGATACCCTGTTGAATACCTTAGTATACCTTACATATGCCATCTA